GCGAGACCAAGACAGACTGAGGAGCAGACTGAGACTGAGACATGGGGGCAGAAAGACGGATAGAGGGACAGAGAGGGTGAGCAGGGTGGCAGACTGCCGAGCAGACGGATCCTGGTATGGCGGGAGCTCTGGGCAGGCATCATCTGTCCCTAGCAGACCCCCTGGGGCCACTCAGAATTCACACCCAAATACCCTCCGCTGTTTTGCTTGAGAGCGACACTAAGTTGGCACCCACAACCCAAATTATGAAATTTAGCTCTTTTTCCTGTTATTAAAACATTACAGAACTCAACATGAGGTTGCGAATATGTGTATTTACTGAACAAGCATGCTTCTGATTCTTTCTAGCTCTGGTCACCTTACTCAGTTTTCTCAATGCTGTCCGATGGTTCCTCTTCTACCACCACAGTCTAGGCCAGCTTGGCTGAAGGTGCAAAGCTACAGGATACCACTGAGACGCTGCGTCTCAAGTATGTAGGACACCTTGTCTATGCTGTGCCTGCTTCACACAAGCCCTGTGAGTGGAGTCATAAGGGAGCGTCATGAAGAAGGAGTTTAATTAGGAGCAAGCCTCCAAAGGGGCCATCGAGAAAGACACTGAGCGAAGCAAGAAGAAACAGCTTTTCTGCCATATCACCCTCATTTCTGGTCCCCTATCTTGCACATTTACTGGACTTTGTCCATATAATACAGATCACTGTATTCTTAGACACATTCTGTGGTTTTTGTTTGAAGGATGAAGTCATCATCCTCTCCTACTCACTTCTTACTCACCTTCTTCTCATTTCACACTTTGGTCAAATTTGGTCTTATCGTTCTGTCCTTTTGCGAACGTAGCAGAGAAGGTGTCAAAAGAGGGCAGCTAGGAGGAATACGTAGTGATGCAAATGTATGTATTTGGAAAACAATAAGTTCCCAGGATAGTACTGGAGACTCGTCAGAAATGTCCCTCTTTTCTTCGGCTTGATTCAATTTTGCACTTTTGAAAGTGGATCGAAATATTTTTACAGCACTTTGCAGTTACAATGTCTGCTCACTGGGACTGGTATTACCAAAAACTAGCACTAACGAAACTAATGCTAACCAAAAGCAGAAGCAACCCCCTCAGCATGTTCACAACAAAAAACAAGCAGTGGTGGAATGCCAAATATTTACAGACCTGGGGTTTCTGCTTTTATCATGGTGTTCTAACCAAGATGTTTGTCTTCAAGATACTGCTGAGTATGAGGAGCAGGCGAAGCGGCACATAATTCAACATGTTTCCTCTCTTATTGGTTCACTTCCTGTCTTAGGTTTTTCGGATAGTCCATCTGAGAGCTTTCATTTGGTGGGAAATTCCCAGTTTTCAAGTGTTTAATGACTAATCAAAATCTGATTTGTCATTATTTAACCAGTCAATTACTAAACAGAGGCAATCAAAAAAATAATGTCCAATTGATTGTGACTTCCTTAACTATTGTAACTCTAAGAATACTTTATTTATATTGTTGTAGCAGCAATTGGAACTATTGCTGCATTTCTGTTTGGAATAAAAATAAAGTGGTTTTACTTTGATACTATGCAACTATAATATCATAAAATGGTTACCATAAAATATACTTGTAGAATCCAATAATGGACTCCATTTTAGTGAGAGGTTGTTTGACTATACACTTATATCTAATAAGTTATTTTTGTTTGTTGCCTTGTCAAATTAATAAGTAACTCTTACCCCCTAGCAAGAATTGACATCTCCTTAAAATAAAAAAAATAAAAAATAAATAAATAAAGACGTGAACAAGTTATAAAACAACATTAAAAAGCATTGGATGGCAAAAGTAAGCTACAAGAATGAGGGCTCCATTTATGGCTACAGATTATCCTATTGGTTGCTGGGTTGTTTGTCAGACTTTGGCAACAGATGTGATGTCACTGAACAGGTGGGCATAACTGGGATAGGTGACATACCATCCTTGAACCCTACCCTAAATATGTTGAATCCTGCCGGAGAGCTAAGCCTAGGCCACATGCTTCATAGTCATGTAACACTCCTGTCCTGGCTGCCTGCACGCCATCGACGCCCAGCGCAACCATTGCCCAACCCTCGGCAGGACAGCCAGCTCAGTTACCCCATATGAGTGACACTTTTGGCCCAGCCTTTGCTCTCGTCCTCCTGCTTCGCTCCACTGCTGTTTCTCCAAGAATGGAAATGAATCCCTAGTGCTCTCCACGCTGGTGGCAGTAGGTGGAAATCTGTGCTGGTGGGAAGAAAAGTTACTGGTACTTGCGTGTGTTCTCATGTGAACCAAGGAAAGGCCGGCGGTTCAGCTCTTGTCAGCATGATGTGATGCATCGCCAAGATCACGGAGGAAGCTCGGCAGGAGAAATCGAAACTTTTTTACATCTGACGCCCGTTTCTTATAAACAAGAATGCAGCATGCAGAACCTCTGTCACCCCTTTGTTCTTTCCGCGTAGAGTGCTCTAATAGAGCAAGAGGGCCTGATTCACTGCAGGTCTTCTGTATCGCCTCAGCTGATTTGTTTGGTGTGATTTCCTGAAGACTGTCAAAAGATATGAGACGCTTTTAAATTCAGAATTCCAGATTTCCACTCCAGGGGCCGAGGGAGGATTCGGAGAGCCAGCAAATGTTGACACACTTACTGTAGATGCCTCAGCCACAAGACGTTTCAAGAATCAAACAGTTATCTTACACACACACAAAAGCGGCCCTCTAAGTTCACTAAAACCACACTCTAAACAGGCCTTTGTTGTGCTGACATAAGAGATAACTGGATTGTTATTTGTTTTCTAAGCAGGCAGATCGCTCCTGTCATTTCTGCAGCTGCTTGTGATGGAGTTGCTCGCACTTGTATCGCTTCTGTGAGTGAGAACCGGCGGAGAGAAACAAATGAGAGGAAGAAGTTCACAGAGATTAACTTATCTTAGCATCCATCTCCTTTCCTTTCTCCTGCTCGGTCGCTTTTTTTTTCTTTCTATTTTTTTTTTTTTTTTTTTGCTTGACTCGAACACCTACTCTCACACACCCACACATGCACACGCAAACACAGATTCATTCCCCTTCTTTCCCCTCCCACATACATACACACACTTGATCAGCATCAAATACAGGGTGTGCTAAAGTAAATTTAATTACGTCTGTCTGATATGGAGCTTCAGATGAAAGTAGGAGAGCGCGGTGCGAAGCAACGACTGCACAGACAGGAGCAGGCCCATGATATTCCTCCTGTAGACTAATCTCCCTTTATTAAAGCCAGAAGGAGAGAGGGAATGGAAGGAGGTGGGGGGTGGATGGAGAAGAGTGGGAGGAGGAGGGGTGTCTTTGATGAGATCTGTAACTGTCAGCTACTGTACTTTTCTGCTCTCCTGCTCTGTCTTTGTCTCCCCACTTTGCGAGGCAAATGAACACAGCACCTATCGTTGCAAGGCAGGCAGACTCTCATGCAAAGTAATGTGCTGTGAAACTCATCCTCGTTGTTAAGGATGTCAACAATTTCTTTAAAAGAAAAAAAAGGACAGATGTGGCTCTCCCTCACCTCCCTTAATGCTTTCTTTGTCTTAGTCGCTCCTCCAGTTAGAGGGAGTGGTAAGCCAGTGAGTTGTCGGCTGTTTTGCTGCCCACTCTAATAGGGGCAGGTGGCCATCAGGTGGCCAAAACAAGAAACTGCCTTCCTTATAGCACCTATATAGGGCCTTGAAGTAGCATTTTTGTAATGTTACATTTTTATATTTGTAACAGACTCATAAAGTGAAGTGCTTAATTGTAATATTTATTACACCACCCATACCCCAGTGTACATGTCTATCCACCTTCTTATTTTGACAGGTCTACAGTACAACTGACAGCCTTCAGACATCATCTTAGTGAAATGAGGCCAACTGTGTGTAATTTAATCATGCCATTATTATTATAGCTGTGCATTCCACAAATCTGTTCCTTATGGAACGTTATGAGAATAAGGCTATTGTTGTTGGTTGATGGGCCGATGGTGGCGACGGTGGTGGAGTCTGTCCTATAACCGATAGGTTGCTGGTTCAATCCCAGTGCTGTCTGTCTCACTCGTTCTTCAGATTGCTGGTGGGCCTGGTGGCACCTGTGCATGACAACCTGTCACGTCAGACTGCCCCACCACAGCTGTGGCCTCAATGTGTCTTCCCACCATCAGGGTGTAATTCACCCACATGTGCGTGAACTGCTGAATGAATGGCTGAATCACTGATTGTGCGTAAAGCACTTTGGGGTCCTCTGCACTTGATAAAGTGTTACACAAGTACAAACAATTGATCTATTACTCCTGAAAGAAAGCTCTAGGTTTCCATAACATTCCCATTGGTGAAACATGGTGGTGGCAGCATTATGGTACGTGGATTTTTGTCTTCGCAAGTGAAAGGGAATATAGAAGAAAAAAAGATCATAAAAGTTGAGGCAATGCATCAAGCCGTTTTTCATGTAAATACAGAATAAATCTAGGGGAAATAAATCAAAGTTATGACTGGGCTGTGCTGTGAAGAAGAAAGGGCAAAAATGTTAGTGTCAAGTTGAAAGAGACATACCATAAAGTAGTTGCAGCTGTAATTACAGTGAAAGATTTCTACATTTACAAGGCATGGAATACCACAACCCCACACCTCCTTTTTATTGTTATTTTTTCAAAGTCTTGTACTATTTTTAATTCTTCAAGTCTGTGATTATGTGTGGCATTGTGCTGTCAGTTGTGATTAAAATATCTGTGCCATTCTGAATGATAAGTTGAATGTAAGCGTGTTCAAAAAACAACTGATGCTCCTTCACTCAATGTTAACAGGTTAAAGATTTCCAAAATGGCAAAAAAAAAAAAAATAGAAAAATGCACTTGTCATGGAACAGCTCCTTAAAACAACAAATGTACTTTAACAGTTCATTTTTTAAAATAAAAATAAAGGCTAAGGTGTTTTAATTGGGATTCCTGTCTACCTACCCAAAAACACCTTCAACTATGTTGTGCAACTGCTCTTATTTCAGACGTTGAGAAAGAAGGGCCTAAACGGCTGTGACAGCCCAGACCCAGATGCAGACGACTCGGTGGGCCACAGCCCCGAGTCCGAGGACAAGTACAGGAAAATAAACGAGGACATTGATCTGATGATCAGCAGACAGAGACTGTGTGTAAGTACTTGACATTAACCCCAGAGCCTTGCTCTCACCTTTCTTTTCCTCTCTTCCCCTGTCCCTGTTTTTGTTTATCCCCCTGTGTCTGTCTTTTCATCTCCATGTCCCCGCTATCACTCCGTATCTTCATGTCTTCATGTTTCCCCCACCTCCGTTTTCTGTGATTGTGGAACCTGGCCAGGCATTGAACAAGAAGGAGAACAAGGGCAGTGAGAGCCCGGAGCTCGAGTCTGCTCTCATCCTCACCCCACGCACTGAGGAGAAATACAAACAGATTAATGAGGAGTTTGATCACATGATAAAAACTCATAAGATCCCTGTAAGTACTGAGGGAGCAACCCCATCGCTCAGCAGCTTTTCAATGGCAACTGTTGAGCTAACCCAGCTAACCACAGTTGTTTTTAACTGGACTAATTGCACAAAGAGAGTGAGAGTAAGCTCAAAGTGCGATTACAGTGTTTATTTACAATGAAGAAATTACAGTTCTTCAAACTTGCTTGCTTACATTTGAGGAACAGCCCTCTAATCTGACAGAAGTGTGACCACAGCTCACAGGCGTTTTCCTCTATTAATTGCAGACTTTCTCTCAAGAAAAAAAAAAATATCTGACTTTCCCACCTTGAACTCATTCCGCCCGCACTACTGTTGCCTGTGTCCCGGGGGGAGTGTGGTGTGCATGTGTTTGTCCTTTTGCTGCCTGCACCAAAACAGCGCTCAGTCACCTGCAACATCAGGGGTTTGGGGTTAGAAGGGAAGTGGGGGGAGGTGGCAGGCAGCATGGCAGAGAAAATGTAGCAGATGTTCCATGTTCTTCACAAACCTGAAATTATTGAAGGCTTCTTAGTGGACACATGTCAAGGTAGCGTCTGCAAGATTTATGATGTTAATTTTGCAAAGTAAGCTGACACAAACCACAAAATAGGGACTTCTTTTCCATTTAAACTGACCCCTGTTCCTCATTCAGAATGTGCCATATTGGAATGGTTAGCGCTTTGGCACTTGCACAGAGAGACATAATTCCACAGTATATTAGTAAGAGGAGAACAGTAGTATCTAGCCCACGTGGAGCAGGAGGCGATGTGGTTAGAAAAAAGGCAGGGGTTGCAGAGTTGAGGGGTGGACTCTGTACACAACAAGTGGCAGTTCAGCGTGTGGTCAGGGCGGCTGCCAAGCACTGGGCCTCTGGATTGCAGGGGACTGTTGGCAGGGGTGGGGGAGCTGTGGGGAAAGGCAAGGGAGGAAGATGAGTGAAAACAGGAAGGATGGCACCAGCTAGAAGACAGTTCACAAACGGGGCCCTTTGCTCCCAGTAATGGGGGATGTAGACAGCTCCCACTACAAAGAAGGCAATGATAAGCTCTGAAAGTCCAGTCAGGACTCTAAAATGGAAGAAATGGCAGACTGGGTGGGTGACTGGATCGGCAGTTACAGCGAAGCGTACAAAAGCCCACAATGAAAAATGGTAGAAACAACCATTTTTTGCATGTTAAAATAATATTTGTCCTCAGCAATGTAGAGGGGAAAAAAATCATAGAAGTCGAGGCAATGCTAAGGCACCAAGCCGGTTTCCATGTACAGCAGGCCGATGCTCTCATGATACACTCCCTCCGCAACTTGAAGACACATGGCAGTAATTTAGGGGCCTATTTTCTACTTCCTAAAGCTAACATAAAGGATCAACCACTTCCAGGGTACTCCCAAGGTTAAATCCTTCTGCCAAATGACACAATAAATATGACAAACTGGATGCCTCAGGGCTGTCGGGTTAGCTTGACTCGTGTTCCTGATTGAGCTGCTGGCTGATCTGCGCCAACCATTTAAACACCTGGTGTCGGCTCAGTGACGCAGAAGGGAAAATAATTCTTAATTTCATTTAAAAAAAAAAACATATTCAGGAAGTACTATTTAGAAGGTAAATCTTTTCTATTTTATTTTGGCCTTCTTAGGAAAACACAATGCCAAATCTTTATCCAAGTAACCCATAGAATTTATTTTGGGCTATTTTGGACAATTTCTGTAATTGTCCAGAAAAATACTCAGATCAGACATGAGTCCGTTTCTGATCTCAAGATGTAGGAAAGTAAAACAAAAAGTGTTCAGTCATGCCATTCTTAGGAGTTATTTGTTTAGATGCTAAGTCATGCTAAATCAAACTGGAATGCTACAGGGTTTCCATGGCCAGAGTTACCAACAGGAGAATCTCTTGTTCTTTGTTGACAATCTTTTCTAGTCCTACTTATTCTTTCTTTACCACTCTCTTGTTTGGATTTTTTAAATTTTCAGTACTTGTCCAGTCAATTTTTTTTTCACATTCATTGATCCCTTTTGAAATTCCATGTCTTTTTATGTCATCTGTACTCTTCAGCAATTCTGTGTTTCTTCTGCATTTCTGAATAATTTTGTCTCTTTTTATCCACTCTTTACTAAAATCCCTAATCTTTCATTTACTCACCTGAATGATTGTTATCTACAGTCTAATCTTTGTCTTTTTTATATATTTTTCTCATCTCTTTCCCAGCAGGCTGTACCCCCATCGAACTACGACATGCCCGTCTCTATCCCCACAAGCAACCAGAACAATTTAATCTACAGCCATCCTGGCGGGTCCCTAGGCAACCACAATCTGTTGCCACTAGCGCACCATGGTCTACAGAGAAACAGCATGTCTCCAGGCGTGACACATAGACCCCCCAGTGCAGGTAATGCAGGTAGTGCCCCATGTGCACCTATGCACGCCCCCAACCCCAAAGCATGCGGTTACCCCATCTGTCTGTCTTTTCGAGCAAGCGTGTGAACCTGTCTGTCATGCTAATAGAGCCAGACACATCAAAACGTGTAATTTAATTCATGACAGCTACCCACAATGTTCCACCTAAAGGCGGTGAATGAAACTGGAGTTTTTTTTTTGTTTTTTTTTTCCTCCCACATATAATCACATATTCCCTGCTTCACTGTTTTGTCAAAGGTAACAGCAAAATGATGTAAAACAATATTAAATCCCAACCCACAGTTATTTATTGTGAGACTCTGGTGCTACTTATAAGCAGTTGAGCCTGTTGGTTTGTTATTGTTGTCCAAAGTCCTTTTTCTGTCCCTGTTGCCCAAAAGGCTGTTGCCCACACCCTCAACCCTGTCATTACGACTGGATGTCTGAAACGCAGAGCACAAACTAAATATGAGCTTTGGCGCTCACCGCATCCAGAGCAAAAAACATTCTCAACCCTCCCACTCTTCCACCTCGCATGTTTTAAAAATAATAATGTGTCATTTTTCTTGGACAGCACCTTCATGCATCCGCAGTGTCGTCCAGTTGCTCAGTGTGCTAAGGGTTTAAGTGGGAGGAAGCCTTGCTTCTCGCGTCGCACCGACACACGTTGTGATTAAAGTGGGAGAGACAGGGAGGCGGAATGGATGCTGTGTGGGTGTCTATCCTCTAATGGTTTTTTCTCCTCTGCTTTGCTCGTTATTTCATCTTACAGGTGGCCTCATGGGTGCTGACCTCACCACTGGCGCAGGCACCAGTGCTGGTAAGAATGGCCTCCTCTTCTCACACATGTCTGCTTGCAGACACACAAACACACATCTATGTCACCCACTCACCCACTTGGGGCCATAAAACGCATGACTAACACTAACCCAAACCCAAGTGAAGATTTGGTCCATGATGTGTTGAAGTTAGTGGTCGTGGAGTTCATATGGGAATGTTTGCTCAGTGCCTCGGCTGTGACACATCCTGCCCGCTTTCAGCTATAAAATGGTAAAACAAGTGGGGGGGAAACAGAAGCTAAAAAATTGCACCGTATGCAGAAGCTAGGCGCTGAATCTCTGGTTACATTTTACAATTTAGAAAGAATGAAGTTTGTTGTTTCTGTACAAAAATCTTAATTTATTAAGCAATGCCAGTGGAGAAGCATGTTGATGAAATCTTATGAGATAGCTTTTGTTTGTCCACCAGTGTGCCCCCAAGGACATGCTCAGCTCAAGTTTATAGGAAAGGGACTCCCATTTTAATGGTTAAATTTTATGATATGCAGTGCGGAGTGTAAAAATGGGGGAATTAGGGGCGTTGGTCGGGCACAGCTGGGTAGCCTTGTCTAACACACACCCGCACACACACTCCCAAGGCCCTGACATTAGGGGTCAACGCCTGGCTCTCTGTCTGGTCACCCGTCGCACACAACAAACACGAGTGTGCGCAACAACAGGGCCATTTGTTGTGGCGTACGTTCCATTGACGGCGTTCCGCAGTGCGCGCCTCAAACGCAGCCTTTGTGTTGGCTTCACTGGGGGGGAACAGAGGCACTCTGTGAAGGGCTCTGCGTCGCTCAGCAGCCGTGAAAAACACAACGTGGAGAGAGAGGGTCATGTGGAAGCTGAAAGATTCCATTCAGTACTCTCTTAAATCTCATTTGAGTGGGGGTAAAGGGGGTAGAAAGAGTGTCTTGGTGGGGTTGGAGGGGGGAGACCCCGGTGATAAATATCCACTGATGGTGGAAGCATGTGTGCAAATGAAAAACAGTCGGGGAACACAGATGGAAGTGTTCTACTAACTTGGTCAGCCGTTTTAATTATGTTCCTACGAACTTCATTAGAGTTACAGTTCCTTTCTTAACTATTCAAGCTACTTGAACTTTGTCTCCTTTTGTCACCTTGCAACCGGAAGCTTTAATGTATTTTATTGGCATTTTATTTGATAGACCAACAGAATGTTGTGCATGATTGTGAAGTAGAAGAATAATTGCACAATTTATTGTTTCCAATTAAAATTAAAACATGTGCTTCAGTATTCAGACTCCTTTACTTGTATGCCTAAAATGAAATTGTACAAGAAATGCTTTCCAAAGTCACTTGCTGTTTAATTTATTCTCAGCAAAAATACAACTATTCTAGAGAATATTAGTGAACAAACAATTTCATGAAGATCAAGGGCCGTGACAAACGGGCAAGCAATAAAGTCTGGAAATGCTTTAAGCATTGTTAGGTTATTCAGCTAAATCTCAAGTTTTGAACATTTCACAGAACACTGTTCAGATGATTATTCAAAAACAAAAAGGCTATGGGTCAGCTGCAAAATTACTATGTTGTGACTTTCCACCCAAACTGGCAAAAAGTCCTGGAGAGAATTATTCAGAGAAGCAGACAAGAGGCCCAAGCTCCAGAGGACCTACAGAGATCCACAGCTTAGGTGATTTAAATCAAAGTGTGTGTTAGAATAGACCAGTTAAAGTCCAGACCTAAATCTACTTGACAATCTGGTAAGAAAATGTATGACCACATATGCCTTGTATCCAGCATATAGGAGTTTGAGCTATTTCACCAAGAAAAGTGACAAAATTGTCCATCTTTCGCTGTTCAAAGCTGGTAGAGACATACCCCGAAAGACTTGCAACTATGTTGGATTATCACATAAAATCCCAATAAAATTGCATGTGTTTGAAAATTCTCAGCACTTTTGAAGGAGTGTGAATACTTTTGCAGGACAGTCAAGGTGTCTCAAACACTGTTGCACCATAAAGAGCCTTTTGATGCCCTTGATCTTTTCACTGTGTTTAAATAAGCAAAATACACATTTGCACTGTCTTAGATATATTTATATGTCTATGACATATCTAAGAAACCAAAACCTTTTGGATGGATGTCTTTCAGATATGCACGTAAACACCCGCTTTGTGGCACTTTCTGCTAGAGTTCAGTTTTTTGCAAGACTAGTTGTAAAACACTGTGTTTCAATCATATCTGGGACCAATTCTTTGGAGAATTGACTTTCAATGTTAACCAAAACACCCTTTTTTCTCATCTTGTGCAAATATGGTACATGAAACCCAGATGTGGGGGTGTATTCAAAATCACTAAAGGTCCCCAGGTAATTCTAGTCTAGTGTAAATGGGGCATGTCACTGAAAGGCTTAGTCATCATGTCTTTTCTATGGAAATATTGCAGGCGGTGTGTGTGCACATGTGCATGTTTGCTTATTTATGCAGTATATTTTCAATCTGTCATTCCCTTAGCCGGCTGGGAGAGAGTATGAGGTGGTGAAAGGGACAGAACAGGAGAGTAAGAGACCCGTTGAGCAGAACTCCAGCTTAAGGCCCCAGCTTGTGAGATCCTAACGACTGCCATGAGCAAAACTAATTACCCATGATCCGCATTCCAATCAGCACCCTCCTCACTAAAGTTCTGCAAGAATCTCTCCTCTTACCTCCCAACTTTATCATACACCATTCTCTCCTTTCAGTCTGTTACACATGGAGCTGGACAAATAGTAGACTGCGCATGGTAACTGGCAAAAAGTGGCCTTCAACTGCTTAAACAATGTCTTTCCTCGGTCTGGGCAGCACCTTGCACCAACTGTGCAGATTGTGAGCTCGAATGTGACACCTTGGTTCAGTTGGAGAATTCGGGGTTGAATGCACATTTGGCCAAACCGCAACGGAAGAGTGTGTGAGCATGGGGAATAGAATGGAGCACGCCTGTTAGACCACAACAGGACATCAGAAATTTGTTCAGTAACAGTTAAATGTACAAGAGTTTAACCACACCTCTCTTTTTGTGTGTGCGTGTGTGAGCGTGAGCGACGTGTGTAAGAGGGAAACAAAAGGGTGAATGAAGACACTGGAGGGGCCTTGTCAAACACATGCCCTGTAGCCATGGAGCTAAATTAACGTTGACCCCCACACAGGCACACTTATAAATAGCATGAAGCTGTTTATCTCAATCTCAGATCAGATTTTGTTCTCAGTATGAATGTTTAACATAGCAGCAATAAAAAAAAGGGGCTACTTGATAAGCTGTATTTAATTTTGGTACTTCCTCAAAATAGGTGACGCCAGCCTGCATGCAGCTCCGGTTTGCAAAGCAGTATAAAAGGAGTAGGAGGACGATAGAAATGAACTCTGGGTATCATGTCTTCAGCTGATGTAGAGATCCAGTCTATGTCGAATGCTACCACCCTCAAATCAGCTGCAGAATAGAGAGATTTGAGTCACAGTTCTCGCTTCATTAGTCTAATTGGTCGGTGATTTTACTTTTGAAGTGCTTAAGGACTGGCCTCTGCCACTCATGATTACAGTCATCCAGCATATAATTGACTGGACTGCAGCCATCTCTACAGGGCGGGAACACACAGATGTCTGATTAACTGGCACCGTGATGAAATCCATGTCTTCTTGACCAAAGTGTGTATTAACGTCTCTCTATAGTGTGGCGTCTATTTTACTCATCTGTAGAGAAACACTGATGAACTTCCTGCTGGGTTATTTACCAAAGTATATGTGTATGTGTTGCGTGGTGTGCTCTGTGTGTGAGTGAGGTCTCATTCATCCATCTCCACATGCACCCACTCAGTCTCATAAAGGGCTCGCCATGAGAATGAGAAAGCGGCAGTGCTGAAGAGGCAGCTGCCTCTTTACAAGTGTGAGAAAGACACTGGAGCCAAGAGGGGTCCGACACAAAAACACATGTGCAATCATATGCAAGGCTTGGAAGCACCCTTATGCCATGCTGGGCAACCTGTGCTCATAGCGCTTTGTAAATTTGTCACGTTCCAACTCAAATTTCTATTTATTTTATCGGATGTGTGTAGTATCTGTGAGGTCTTTAGTAATTGGTCAAAATAAAGTTCCAGAAGTAACCTATTTAGTAAATAGAGTCTACCTGTCTGAAATTTAATGTCGGCATGAAACCAGCTATTCTGTGAACAAACTGCATCACGGAGACTAAGGAAAACAGCAGGTCAGAGATTACCTTGTGGAGAGTTTTAAAGCAGTTTTAGATTATAAATGTTCCAAGCTTTCTTCTCACAGTTCAGTGTTCAATCCATCATCTGAAAATGAAAGGATTATGGCGCAACTACTGTCCACGTAAACTGTCGAGCCAGATGAGAAAAGCATTGGAGCCAAGAAGGAGCCAAGAGACCTTTGTTACCCCTTGTGGAGCTGCAGAGATCCACACCTCAGGTGGAAAAATCTGTCAACAGGGCAAATTTTTGTCACGCAGTCCCCACATAGTCATTCTAAAGCAGAAAAACAAAAAGGTGCAGGATGTCTTGTTTGTAGTTTTCCACAGGTCATGTGCGGAATAAAGCTAAAGTATAAAAAAAAAAAACATGCACTCCTCAGATCAGAGCTAAATAGTACTTTGTGACCTTCATAAAAATCACTTTGTGATGGAAAACTATCTTTGCACATCGGCCTGAACACGACATCACTGCTAAGGAAAACAATGGTGGCAAACTCATACTGTGGAAATGCTTTATTCAGTTGGAACAGAAGAGTTTGCAAAAGCTAAACACAGGGCGATCGTGCAAGAAAACCTTAGGGTGATGAGGATGTTCTCTTTCCAGCAAGACAACGGCACTAAACATCAATGCAAGTGCTGAAAGAGAATACTTCAAATGAAAGAATATTTGTATTCTTGCCCGTTGGAAGCACAGATCTAAATCTAATCTGTGGCAAGACTCAAGATGCTCACAGATGCTCTCTATCCAATGCGACTAAGCTTGAGCTATTCTGCTGTTAAGAATGGGCAATAACACGTTTATGTGCAAAGCTGGTCAAGAAATACAGCCAAGAACTTGGTGGTTCTACACTCTAGAGTTGACTCACTGGAGCTTATTATCAATGCATGCCATAATTTATAAACTTTTCATTGTTAAAGCAGTTACGAACTTCATGTTATATCACAAGAAAATATGTTTCATCTTGTTGTGTAACATGACAAAATGTGGAAAGATTCAAGGGGTGTGAAAACTTTTACAAGATACTACGTGTGCCATTTATAAGAAAATCTCTGGATTTACACACAAGCCGAACTGCCTACAAAAAATTACTGCAAAACATACACAAAATGACACACAAACTCAATTCTAACAAAAGCTTAAACATGCTTATAAATCACAGTTTTCAGCAATCACACTCGCACCACGAGCGACATGCTGTTTTTCTCGTTTTCTTGCCGGCCTCATTTTCTCTCACCGCCAGCGGTCGTTTACTCTTCAAATTGTTCAAATTGAGCTTTTGAGACTTTTCATTTCCAAACAACAACAACAACAACAACAACAAAAAAAAACCTCGCTCTCAAATTAAACAAAGATCAGCGAGGGAAATTGCCCTGGAAGACATCTGCGTCTCATTTTTCCCCCTGGAGTATATGATTAGGAAATTCATTTATGTCTAACGTATAATTCCTGCCCGTCTTTCAAGTGGGAACGTCCACACTGCGCCCTGCGTTCTACCCCTTTGGAAGATCGGATTGGGAAGTAAGGGGAAAAACAGCCCATGGTACGAAGTTAGAAACAAAGACTTTGTTGCCTGGCAGTGTTCTCTACGCTCAGACTTTTTTAATGATGGTAGGATTTCACCCCACCATTTTTCTTGTGTAGGAGAAAGTGGATCCTAAGCAGCAATTTTGATTTATTTATTGACCTCATTCTTCTGTGGTCTTGTGACCCATAATTAGATGTTTTTACGAGGTTAATTCGCTGTGGCTGAGACATAAAGTCTTTGTTGACAGTGACTGAGGTAAAGGGTGTGTTCATCATATGACTTCCTAACAAATGACTGTTACTGTTGTGATAATCTGTTTGACTGTGGGTCTGTGGGTGCGCTTTCCTCTGAGTCCCCGTCTACTATGAGTGTTCCAATAAAATTCCTACCACAGGGTTTGGGAAAGGAGACAGAAACACCTAAAAGTATCCGAAGGGAGAAAATCAATTTGTGTATTCCCTAATTAGGCGTATTACAGTCAGCAGAGGACAGAGTTTTGCTAAACTTTTCAAAAAAGGTTTAATTGTTTATGTTAAAGATCAGGTCAGAAAAGAAGCATTTTTAATGTTTTTCCATGTGTGTTTTGTTCCGTCAGGAAATGGCTATGGGAACCACCGCAACTCTCCTGGCCTGCTAGTTTCCTCAGGTGGAATGAACAAGAACATGCAGGCAAAGTCCCCCCCACCCATGAACCTGGGCATGAACAACCGCAAACCTGACCTACGCGTGCTCATCCCCCCTGGGGCCAAGAACAACATGCCCTCCATTGTGAGTAATCTCTGCATCCTTCATTTGACATCCTTTCTCTCCTCATCTGCTTTCCCCATTGTATGTGATATGACCTGTATCTGGGTCTCTTATTGTTTATTTTCTTTTTTTCTTTCTCTCACTGCTGCTTTTATCTCTTCGTATCAGACTTGGGTTGATTGATTTATTGTTATGGGAACAGGGTTTCTGCAGAGAGCTAAAAAAAAAAAGTCCTAAACAAGTCTTAAACCACTTCAGGGCCTAAACTATCTTAAATACATCAAGATTTTCTGAAAAAAAATCTTAAAATGCCTTTAGAAATCTGCAAAATTTCTATGTACGCTTGTTTTTTTGTTTTATTGCTTCTTCCATTGATCTGTTTTTATTTATCGTTTTTATTTTTTATTTTTGCTTTTTTGCAGAAATTTACTGCTGTCTGTTTAGTTTGATGAATTTGTTTTTAGAAAGTAAATAATTAATTTAATTTGTTTTTCATATGTCTTCATTTTAAATAATGAGTCTCTGGAAAATGCCTCCTCCTAAAGTTTGCAGAAATCCTGTTCAAAACAATATCTTTACCTTTTTGACAAATCTTTTCAAAAACTTTGTCTTGGCCCAAGGCTGATATTTTGTCAGATGCCCACCATAGACTCCGCTGTGTCTCTGTGCGCTGGCACTTAAACTGTTATGATCTGGCAGTTTTGCCTCATCTCTTTTCAATCTGTTTTTAGTTTTAGTTAGTCCAGGTTCACTAGCTTTTACATATGTGCTTTATTTTTTTTTTCCAATTAGTTTTGGTTTCATTCCAAAACTAATTGGAATGAAATTAGTTTTTGAATGTCCTCAATTAGTTACATCCCTATGAGCTCCCTTACTGTGCTCAATCATGTGCACTAATTTGAATGTATTACCCTCCCCTTTCAATGCCATCAGTCTGAGGATGTTGACCTGCTGTTGGTAAGTCAGACTGCCACTCAAATTTAGAAAACGAGACAACCTCCAAGTAGTCGAAACCTTTTTTCATAGTTCGAGTGAGCACATTGTGCCTTAGAATCCCGACAGCTGTGCCTTTTATTGTGGGAAACGCTTTCCTTTTCTTTGTTTAAGAAGAGCAACTCCTAACTCCTAATGGCCAACTTTTTCCCCTTGTTTCTGCTGATGGCATATTGCGAGGGTGCATAGTGCCATCCAGTGGCGTGTCTAAGTAAAAACAACCCAGCCACTTCAGCGCCACAAGCCCGGCTGTATCTCCTCCTCCTTTCACTCTTCGTGCGTTTCTTTTACTGGCTTCCAGGGGGTTAAAACAACTTCCATACTGATCCTAAGCCTCTAAATGTCCACACACACACAACAAAACACCAGACGCATCATTTTTCCATCAAACCTCTGCTGTTTTCTTCCTCTCCCTCCATGAAAGGCTTTCCCTTGCAGTTGGCACCACGCGTTGCTATGGAAACCCACGGTGTTACTATAGCGACAGCAGCCCCTTGTAAAATAAAAAACGAGAGGTAAATGATGGGGTTGGCAGAGTTCAACCGAGCCTCTCGTCAAGTGATTAATTTCCCCTGAAGTTGGTTCCACATCTGATCTCTCAGCATCTGCTGGCACAGAGAAAGAAATTACACATGATAAAATGTTTGGGTTTTTTTTTGTTTCCTGCAGAAGTTCAGTTCATGTTCTCAAGCTTCTCTTGTGTCTCTCTTTTTTTTTTTCCCCCCCTTTTCTGTCACAGAACCAGAGAATTAACAACTCGCAGTCTGCTCAGTCGCTGGCCACTCCTGTGGTTTCAGTGGCAACTCCCACTCTACCAGGACAAGGGATGGGCGGCTACCCATCTGCCATCTCTACCTCTTATGGTACCGGTACGTACTTCAATGTCTTCCCTCTCCTCTTTTACCTTTTTCAGTAACACTATCTAATAATGTTTATTTTACATTATTAACATAACTTAAGTTACTTTACACTTTAGTGAAATGACTCAAATTTGACCTCAGAAATGTTATCATACATATATAAATCGCCTGAGCATGAACAACTCAGGAGTGTAAGAGGTGTAATTTCTGTCCAGGGTTTAATTCAGGTGAATCTGGTGCTGAATCTCTGAAACAGTTCTCAACAGCACGAAATCTTGGTAGATAATTGCATTGACTTTGAACTCAATGAAACTCACTGAACCGATAGCAGCATTTGACATCTCTATATATCATTATTACTCGTGGAAATTTCACCTTTGACCTCTAACATGTAGCAGCATGTGTCACTTCACTTTTCCTGGAGACTGCATTGCTGTGATTTTGAAGAATTTCCTTGCATCTGAAAAGAGCACGTCGAACACTGAGCAACAGTCCAGCACTTCTTCGCTTTAGTAAAATTATTCTGACAACTTTGCTAAGGAGTGCTGCTGCCCATGTGTCCACACTTTGTTAATCTCCCCCAAATTTGAAAGGACATTGCTTCATACTGTTGGTCCAGTATGTTGCTTGTGTAGCTTTTCTGGCCGTATTTCTTCTATTCTATATCATCTTCACACGCCTGGATACGGCACTATTTGAACACTCGGCTTCATTGACCGTTTATAGTTTACCTTCAATGTGGATGGCATAAGTGAAAGTAGGACTATACAGACATAACCTGTTAAAATAAAAAAGAATTTTTTTGTTCATTTTATGTAATATTATCATTTTCTGGGAAGAAAATTTTAATAAGTTATGAGACACATTTATCAATATAACCAGAAATAATATTCTGAAATGTACCAATGTGTTTAATGTGCATATATATATATGACATTTGATTCCTATTTTTAGAATTGTGTAATAATAAAAATAATTAGCATTTTCAGAATTAAGTTACACTTAGAAGCTCTCCAAATGTTCAGTTGTAATATAACCTTTCAACAGCAGATGGTGCTATAGCACTACTAACCGTCAGGGAATGGGAGTCACACGTTCTACCGGAGCTGCTCACTTTTTGCAACTTTAAGCTTTTGTGGTCTTCATCCTACTCTTTCTTTTCTCCCTCGTGTGTTTCCGTGCAGAGTATTCCCTGAACAGTGCAGACCTGTCCTCGTTGTCCGGCTTCAACAGTGGCAGCTCCCTGCACCTCGGCTCCATGAGTGGCTGGCAGCAGCAGCATCTTCAGAACATGCAGCATTCAGCCCTCAGCCAGCTCGGGTGAGTGCAGAAAACTTACTGTTAAGGTGTTTGTGTTTTTTGGAAAAATGCATGATAACACATAGATAATTAACAGAGATTTTTGTTTGAGTTGCCACGCTAAGACTTCTTCACTGTTCCACATCTTCACTTGTTAGGTCAAACAATAAGTGACACATCACTGATTTCACATGTGTGCGTGCGGGAGTGCTGACTGCATGCTTGTGTGAACAGACTTGACTATACAATCACCTTGTCTCTTGCTCTGTAACTCTGTAACCCCTTTGCCTTTCCTTTTTCCTTCCAACAGAAATTGCTCTAGCTCTCACTTATGTCAGGGTTCAAATCTATCCCTGCCCTCTGCTCAAAGCCTGCACATCAAGTCCGAACCTGTTTCTCCTCCTAGAGATCGCACCAGCAGCACACCAGGGGGCTACGGCGGCGGGGTGCCACCCAGTCAGAACCCCCAGTCCCGCCAGGACTCGGGACGCTCCCCCGTCGATAGCCTGAGCAGTTGTAGCAGCTCCCACGAGGGCAGTGACCGCGATGAGCACAGGAATGAGTTCCACTCACCCCTTGGACTGGCCCGGCCTGCCCTGGATGAGCGAGAGAGCCCCTCCATCAAACGGGTGCGATTGTCAGAGGGATGGGCGACATGATAGCTCTGCCGACGCCCCTGGCTGTGCCCCAAGTTGCCCGGAGACCCTGACAATGCAGCATTTCGATGCCCCCAAAGTCAGCTCCCATTTCCTTTTCACGCACCACCGGACCCCACAGCCTCTCTCCTTTTATCTCTTCAAAGATGAAGGAAAGAAAAGGGACAACCCTTTCAAAAAGTGTTTTGTAATTTCTTTTTCTTTTTAATTATTATTATTATTATTATTTACTTCCTTTTGTTGAATGTGTGTGTGTGTGTGTGTGCTTTACTTATTGACATTATATAAACCAGTGAGGGTGTTGTAATGGGCTTTTGGGGGGGCGGGTGTTGGTTTGGATGGGGGGATTTATGCCGGGGAACTATGCATAAAATGTATTGTGTGTGGATAAAAGAATCACATGCATATATCTCTACACGTATTTATGTGTACATATATGCATATCAGCATATAAAAAGAAGTAGTCAGGTACTCCGTCTCATAAAACAACGTACTTACAATTTGCCTCAGTGATGTATCATTAACTAGAAAAGAAAAAAATTTATAAAAAAAAAAGCATTAACATGAGAGAGAGTGTGTCCAGAGGGGGGGGAAAAAAACACCTTGCACTTGAGTTGGACAAAACGTACGTGTGTACAGTATCAGTTTCATTGGTTATACTCCTTCTCCGCAGTCCTCCCTTGCAAAAACGTGTTAACATTAGATGATGTCATGTTGCAGGTTCAACGTATTTATGTAAATAGTGGATTAACAGGTGGGGGGAAGGGTGTTGCAGGCGAGGGGTTAAGAAGTTGCCAGACATTTCAAGATTTATGAACTCAATAAATGAAATAGCTATTATGCAACATTTGAAGGATTGTACAGGTAAACATGCAGGAACCCAATGCTAGGTGTCGATTTTTTGGGGGGGACTCTGGTCAGAGGACGGAGTGAGGACCACCCTTCGATCTAAGAGCTGCATTGGTGTAATCATGAAAACTCGGGTTCTAGTATTAACTTCTCAGTATTGATGAACAAATAAAAAAAAGACGAAAAAAATGACAAAAAAAAACAACAATTGTACGATACACTTGCTTATATTTTCATATGAAAGGAATACAATGCAAAGCATTTTGTGGCTTTTTGTAGTTTCTATAAGCCAGAATGTGTTTTTTGATAGCTTTGCTAATGAAAGAGGGATAGTTCACCCAGAGAAAGAGAGAGGTATGGGGGGATGATTGGGCTTTCACGCCCTAAGCCATGAAAAACAGATTGAGATCCGATGCTTCGCTGAACTGTTTTATCTTTGTAGAGGTTTGTTTTTAAACGTGTATTTCTAATTATTATATATAATAATGGTAATATTAAGAATCTTTAAAAAAAAATCTGTGAAATTAACATGCTTGTGTATAGCTTTCTAATATATGAATATATATAATGATTTTTTTTTTGTTTCTTAGTGAAGTTTCTATGTGCAGTTGCACATGTTGTCTGGTTTTTGTTTCATTTGAACTCTGAACAGTGCTGTTGAAGGGGGTTGTATTTAGACTAACTTTAGAAACCAGCTGGATTTGTGCAACACAGAAGAGATGGGGCCTGAATGCTGAAAAAAGAAATTAAAAAAAAATCACAAAAACAGTGTCCTTGTGGAAAATGTCAGAAGACTGAAACTGGAGATGAATAGAAATGAGAAGGCTCGATGTATTCTGCTTATCTCACGCACCAAGAAATATGATGGGAATCTGGTTGCGTTTGTATAAATTTAGCTGAATCATAGGGATTTAAAAATTATCAAATTTAGTCCCAATAATCTCATAAAGCAGTTTTTTTCACATTATATTAAAATCTCAGGTCTTCTCCAATCTTAAATGTGTGTTCTAGATGTTTGACAAAACTCACCCAAACTGTACTGTTTCCTTTTGAATCATATTTACCTAACGCAACTTTGCAAATGCATCCTGATGAATTCCCACTGATCATCATTATCATTTATCAACCTAAGCTGATTCTTCTCCTTGCGATCTCCACTATGTTCCAGTCTTCAAAAAGCATTTCCACTTGAGGCCACTGATACTACAGCAAAAAAGGACGAAACTGATCATGCTGGTATGGGAAAAGCACAATGTGTTAATTTGAGATAAATAGTTGTTTTGGATTTATTTTTATTTCTTCTTTTGTTTTTAAACAATGAAACTAGCCACATATCTCTCTCTGCCTCCCACTCCCGTATCTGCTGTCACTTAAGTGTTATTCTATTTCTGTGTGCATATTTCATGCAGGTTCACAATGTTGTTACTGTATACAGTCTGTGTAGTCAAATGGGGCAGAGCCTCTGTAACGGTGTTCTTTCTTTTATTTTTTAAAACTTCAATACAAAAAAAAAAAAAAAAAAACAAAAAAAAAAATACAGTTGGAAAGATAAATAAATATGATGTTTCCGGCAGCATAAAGTGTGGAGAAACCAAAGCCAGTGGTATTTCTGTATTGTAAAATCAACTTTTATTTTCACATCCATTTTTTTTTCCGCAAGCATTGAAAAAAAAAGATAATAAAAGAATTTGCTCAAATTTACAATTGTTTTTTTCCACATTTCAATCACAGTTAGTTGGGTGTAGCTTCAGGTTTGTTTTTGTTTTTTTTTCTTTTTTGTTAATCTGCTTGAACAGTTTCTCTGTTTGATTGCTCTTCTTTTCTTTGCGCTCCCTGTGTATTGCATTGCAAAAGGTTCATATTAGCAAAAGGAAATTGGGTTTTTGCTCAGAATCAAGAAAATCATCTAGACCTGTCACTACTCCCTGCTCTAGTTTCAATAATTTTTTACCAAAGACAGAGAAAATTTGTAGGGTTGCCTTTTTATTTAAACACGTCTGGTGTAATTGTCGGTACCTCAAAATTGACCTAAGCAGTACCTCAGCTGATTTTTGATAACGTAACCTGCAGTGCAAAGGGAAGACCATCCACCTGTACAGCCATGTGTATTAACTTACAAATGCTAAATGTCCTGGCATTTACACAGGACTCTTTGTTGCTCCACTGTGTTTGTGGTCTATTTAAGTTGTGCTCAAAAACTTACAAAAAAAAAAAAAAAAATTTAAAAATATTTTTTTTTAAAGTGTAATATGGTATAAAAATAAAAAAATACTTCAAAGTCAGTCTTTAGTATCAATGTAGCTTGTATAAACCTGAAAAAAATGGGAGAACGTTTGGAAGTAATGTTTTTTGTTTTGTTTTTGTATTTTTCCTGGAACGCAAGAGAGCGGCTTTCAGTGGCATAAGCTGGCCTTTGTCGCTACTTGAGACTAAGATGGTTTTAAATTAAATCACATCTCTGTAACTCAAGGGACTTGTTTCAGCTGTATGTAGTAACATAAATTTAAAAAAAAAAAAAAAAAAAAAAAACGTGGGGATGGAGCCCAAGTCTCCTCTGCTTGAGGGAAAGGCTATTTGTATTTTGCAGAGATTTCAGTAAAGTTACTGGCTTTCTTAGTTATCCTGATGTGACTCAGTGTGATTTTATTGTGTTGGATTTGTTTCTATACATGCTTGTCTAAACAGTCATTCATTTCATTTAGAATCAATATGATAGTATTCTCTGGGATTTTCTAAATAACAACATCGACTTCTTAACACTCAACAATGGAAAAAGAGAGTGCATTTTCTTTTATTTAAACATACATTAAACAATTTAGTGATTTTTTTTTCTCACACTCGCAGTAGTGATATATTTTATTATTGATAAAGGTCTCTTGCAGATCAAAGAACATACACGTGCTCTCCATCAGGTAGAAGAAACAGTGCAAGGAAAAAAAAACTAACACAGTTTGTGCTTGCTCAAACCATGATTGGCTCATTGGATTCTAAATAAAAATAATGAAAATAATAAAGAATAAAACATAACCGATTATACAGAGAAAATGTGTCATATCGATATTTGTCCCGATTGTTTTTTTCTTTGCTCACCCAAATGATGAACACATAGCTGAAAATAAAGTGATCAATGAGGTCATATGGGGTCTTATTGTGGATATCCTTAATTTTCACATCACTGTATTGCTCATTTGTGAGCTTAAAATATAACAGGCACAATCCGGAGAGTTGCTTAATAAAAATGTGATGACGTTACAAAGAAGTTCTTCAAGAAATAAAGCTTAAAAAAAGGAAACCAAAAAAAGGAGACCCTTCAGCTCTCATTTTTTCTCAATTCCCTGAAATCCAGAATAGAATAAATTTAAGGTTTGTCATTAGGATGGTTAATATTAAATAGTGGTAAAATACAAAATGCACACTTTACTTCAATCTTCACAATTTGTTTCATCACCACATTGAAGCTGGTAGAGCCCATTTTATCTTCAATATAGTCAGAAAACAGTATTGGTAAAAAAAATAAAATAAAAAAAAACCAATAATGCCAATATTCATTTAAACGTTTCTCCTATTTATTTTTTTTTTTTTTTTGACTTTTACAAATTTAATAAATTCGCAGGTTTCGCTGCGCAGCCGCTTCATTGTGAAAAATCTACCACTTTGACGTCATTGGATGGCTCTCTTTGAGCTTACATTATGATAGGCCTAATAAGAAAAACTGTTCAAAACTGCTGTGATGACAATAAAAGAACACATTAGAAAAGATAAGAAAAAAACTTAATAAATCAACTTTTTAAAAAATCATCAAAGTGGGGCCGTGTTAAGTCGATAGTCACCTTTTCACGATAGGTAAATAAAAAATAAATAAATAAATAAATAATGAAAAATAGCTTCATTATGAGAAACCTGCAATGTTGACGTCACTTCATGACGCATTAGTGATCTTACAACACATTTGGGCCAATCGGGAGAACTGATTAGATTGATGAGATGACCTTACAGCTACATCAAGGACCCAAAAAATAAAAAAGAAAAAGGGGAAAACATTACAAATAAAGACAAAAACGGAACAAAGATATGTTAGCTCCTGTCTGTTTGTTCATCCCTCACAAACAAGGGATGAACAAATTCCGTCTACAAGGAAACACGACAGTTGCTTTGAACATTATCTAAGTCTTTTTTTTTTTCATCAATAGGCTATGTTTTTTTTCCCTTTTCTTTTAAAGGTAAAGATAATACATAGCGCTACTTGGTGTGTTGATCGCTGGTCAATCCTTATCAGTTTCCATCAGTCACATCACACCGCTGGAATGCTCTCAAAAAAAAAAAAAAAAAAAAAAACTTGTGTCGCAATTTAGATTTTTCGAGTCTTTGCATAATTGTTCGAACTTCAAATCGACCTACATACTGCATGTAGTGCAACAAAGATCTCGCTGGTGGCCTATTTGAGTTAAACTGATGTGAGCAGCAAAAATGAGAGACAGAAAACAAAAATCATTATTTCTCTAAATAATCTAAACATGAACAAAAAATAAGTCGCTAAATAGTATAGTCACAACAAATATTACTGATTGCGTTAATTATTTTCAAGAACAGTTTTAACGGATAGTTTATTGTCCCACGTCACATTTGCATGCAAACATGTGATGCAATGTGAAATAATCTCTGCAGCCTGAACCCCATTAAAAACACTGATGTCTGAACTCTTCCTGAGTTAAAACAATCGTATCGTTGCTTCTGTTTGAACACGGATGCGTTTTCTTTGCTTTATTTTGACGTCAGGAAGCGCTGCGTCTTTTTCGTTCTTTTGACCAGTTCTCAATTTTCTGCGAAATAACCGCGACATTTTCTGCTTGGCATTTCGGAGACGCGTTGCCAGCAGCCGTAGAACAAAAGAGCAATTTTCATTTTACTCAAACACACATGAAAAGTAACATCAGAGAAAGCCATCATGTTAAGTGGTCTCTTCATGCTTCACAGAGCTGTTTATAATTCTCTATGATATGGATTTATCTGTATATATATATATATAGACGAAAATTAATAGTGAACTGTTACAAAGAACGAGGCACCAAAGTCCATTTCGACATAGATCGCATTAATCTGCCCCGCCTCCCGCCTACTTGCTTCGTTGGTGGAGCAGAGTGAACTTTTTAAAGCTGAAAATCGCGAGTTCATTGGAGCTAAGACGACGCGTGCACGAATGCGTTGAATAGCCTATATCTTCTTTTGTTTGTTTTCTATCAGCAGTCAAGATTGCTGAAGCCGCCACGAGTCGGGGAAGCCGGTGACCGCTGTCCTTCCTCCACAGTGCGCATTCTCCAAGTTGACCACTAGATGTCACCGTTCACCATTTAGTCATTTTTCACCGACGCCGACCCCGTTTAGTCGTCATGGTCGTCATCTTCATCGTCCAGAGGCGTTGCATGTTCCCAAGAACTTAAAAAATAAATAAATAAACAAATAAATGAACGAACAAGCTTTATGGCGCTTCGTGCGGTAGATGGAAAAGCAAGACATGTTTAGAGAAGAAGGTGAGAGCAAAATATGAACAAGAGTATCACATAATTTGAAAGACATTTGTAAGCCTACTTTCTATTCTACTTATTATTATTATTATTATTATTATTATTATTATTATTATTATTATTATTATTATTATTATTATTATTATTATTATTAAAAATAATAAATTATAATAATGATAGCTCATGGACTGTTTTCCTAAAGGTGTGTGTGGTTGTGTGGTGGTAGGAGTGAAGGTTATTCGTGCACATTGTTTCCTCGATCTCAGATATTCTTCTCAAATGAACTGTATTTGGGAAGTTAGACTATTTTTACTACACCGTTTATTTCAATGAAAAACAACATGCTGAGTCCAACGCTGTCCCCAATGTCACATGTTACTCGGAAGGCTCATGTACTGGCACATAAAAAAAATTATAATAAAATAACGTGCGCACACAAATTATTCTTTTTTTCTATTATTGTTTAAAAAGCAACTCTAAATGCATTTAGTGTTTGTTTGCAGAACAAAAGTAGGTGTCAAATTATAGCGTCTTGTTTCTTTTTTCTCAAACTCAGAAGAGCTGCTGTTAAAGCGGTGCGTCGTTTTATCATTTTTCTTCTTTCAAATTCACCCTCTCATCTTTGATGAATAACTCGGTTCGAACAATAGGCGTGTTAATAACTGCAACAGAATCGTTTTCCATGCGGATATTTGAATTGTCTCTTCTGCATTCTGCTCCTTTATTGCAGAGTTTGTAGGCTCAAATCCACATTTATTTTTCTTTAAATGTAGGTTAGAGCTCATTTTTGAGATTTAGCGGGGTAATTATTACTTGTTACAAAAAAAAGAGTCAAGTTTTAATGACCTGAACTGATTTACATCATCAAGCCAATGCTGAACAACCGAATGATGCTTTTGTTCGGTTTTCAGAATTGCCTGTTTGTCACTATTATTGTTTTTTATTCCACGCTTTTTTCTTCGACTTGTGTAGTCGATTCCAGAAAGTTTGAAAGAAAGCGTAAAAATGCAACGCATTGAGCCTAACTCTGAAGCTGGTGTTATTTATGTTTTAAAACAGCATATTGTCAATTTAAACTCCCATAAGGCGACATTCAAATCAGCTGCTCCTAATAAAAATATTCTAGAACAAGAAACAAGCTTTTAAGATTTTTTTTTCCTTGCACGTGTGGGGTTATCCGGATTCCTGTGGCTCTGGATGTGTTTACGTGAGCCAGTCTGTCTGACCACTGGTGCTGAGCTTTCGAGCATTTGAAGAGCAAGGTTCAGTGACGGAGGGGAGTAGCCTATAGGGGGACAGCTTCTGCCTATTGCTGCAAGAGGAAAAGTTTGCACTCCATCCATCAAAAGCGGCCTGCATCAAGTTGATCTATGGCGTCGCTAAAAGCGGACAGGTCGGAGCTACAGAAGCGTCGGATTTTTGTGAACTGGAGGTAAGTTGGAGCGTTTTGTAAATTTGGACGAGACGGGAAACATGCAACATGAGATGCGATTTGGATAAGGAGGAAAAGGACTGACGAGGGAAGAAAAGTAAACAAAATAAAAGAAAACAATTATACTACATGTTAAGCTCACACACAATTATTATTTTGGATCTTTTGTCTCACAGAATGCCGCACTTCCATTTGCGCGCTCTTCCCTTTGGCGTATGTGTGCGCGTGCATGGCAACGCTTTAGACAGCCCGAGCACTTGGATCGTGAATGTCAACGCTGCGTCACTGCTGTTTTTTTTTTTTTTTTTTTTTTTTTTTACAGTCTGACCACGGGACTTTTTTTAGGGTTATTAGTTTCTGCACAGAGTGTGCAGTTTTCTGCGTCTGTCTGAAGAACAAGCAGAGCTGTCTCTGCTCCCCTTCTATCCATTGTTTATCCAGCCACCAGGAAGCTCTTTGTTCATGCATGCTGCATATGCATTGTAAATTTGCACGGAGATGATTATTTTATTGATTTATTGATTTATTTTTTAGATTGGAAGACCACATATCACTATTTGTACCATCTTTTTAAGGATAAATAAAAAAAAGAAGCTTAAAATTAAACAAATCACCGCTACAGTGCATAATATTGAATAGTCATATTCATGCAAAAAAGGTCAGCCATATATGAACACAATGCAAATCTAAGCACTGAATATGCATCTATATGAAAAACAATACGCACACCAGAGCCAACGGCGTCGAGGAATTTAGAGAGAAAAGTCGGCGCGGATGCTCTCATTACGCATGGGCGTTTTTTCCACGCAGCAGCAGCAGCAGCAGTCTCCCGGTTCCACTTGTTCTCTTCGTCGTGCCTTCCTCCTTTCGTCCCGCTCGCTTTATATGCCTTCTTGTTGGAACAAAACAAACGCAGTGGTCGCTCTTTCAAAAAGGCAGTTATTAAAAAAAACACACGTATGCAGCAGTGGGTGCGCAAATTATCCTCAGACTGCGGCCGTGCTGCACTGGCAATGTAGTAAGGATGGGGGATTTGCATATTTTGATGGGCTAATTGCCTTGATGTATTTAAATATGGCTGCACGCAGCTGATATGCTCGTCTACGTCACTGAACGTGCCCTCGCAGTTTAACTAAAACGTGAATCCAGGCGGCGGATGCTAATGGATACGCCTGCAATTAGGCAAAAAAGAGGGGGGAGGATGAAAACGAGAGCTCTTTGTTTTAGTATTCATTATTATTATTATTATTATTATTATTATTATTATTATTATTATTATTATTATTATTATTATTATTATTATTATTATTATTATTATGGGTATTTTCCAGGATAAAATGTGAAAATTAAGCAAATTATATTTTGCAAGGAAGCTCTGGAGAAGTTCTATTAGATATATAAAAAAAACAATAAATAAATCAATAAAAGTAAACACGTTTTTCTATAAAGATAAACATCGACAGAAGGACAATCTATTGTACTGACCTCATTTGAACTTTTGTTGAGTGAAAACTGCTTTTAAAATTTCTACTCTTTTCCTCAAACTGTGTGTCTGAGTGTGTGTCCAATTTCTGGACTCTGGTTGTCCTTCCCATTAGGACACTTGCAGCAGTGTGACTTCTGTTACACTTAAGTCAAAGTGTGTCTTTCCCAATTTTTTTTTTCTGTTTTTCTTCTTTTGACTTTAGTCCCTGACTTAGTTTTCTTGTTTGTTTGTTTTTGGAATTGCACGTTGCAAAATTATTCCCCCATATTTTGTCTGCAAAACCTGCAATAAATGCGTTCCGTTTGTCAAAGCGTGTTAGAGGAGCGCCCGCAGCAAATTCATTACCACTCCGACAGCGAGGCTCAGATCGCAACCTGGTCAGAGGGGGTCGGGGGGCGGGGGGAGAGGAAAGGGTAGTGGGGTCCGAACAATGCTCCCTCAGTTCGTGCGTGCAACAAAAGAACCGAGGGAACTTGTTTTGGATTTCAGAGCACGTCCTCTACTCACAGAGAAGGATGGACTTTACACCCACCCCTCCTCCTCATCATCACCTTCATCATCACCACCCACCGGCCTCCCTCTCCCCCCCTTCTTCCCTCCTCATCCGAACCCCATTATCAACAGGGGGTGGCGGTGGGGGGATTGGTAAGGGGGTGAGAGAGAACAAGAGAAAAAAAACAAAAAAACTTGCACACTCTCCGAGAGCTCAACTGTGCATGCACTTTTCTATTTGCTGCTTTATGGGAAAGTTGTGTCTCTCCCTCTCCTCATCCCTCCCCTCTTTTTTTTTTTTTTTTCCCTGCCCGTCTCTGCGTCTGTCATGTGCCTGGGATGTGCTCATGCTTTTGGCACAGAGCGGCCGTTGCACGCCGCCTGATGCGGGTTACAAAGTGGCAGCACCAGTTTTAAAGTCCCCCCTTGCCCCCCCTCTCCCTCCCCCTTTAAGCAACCAACAAGCCGACCAACTACCCACCAACCCAGCATATTTAAACGCCTGGGATTTTTAGTTGCTCTCCCCCCTCCCCCTCCCCCCTCCCACCTCCAAGAGGAACATTTACCTACACATCATACCACGATACACACGGACCTCGTTGTTCTTCTGCTTCTGGCGCCTTGGACACTTTCTGATTCCCTGGCAGTCATCTGGCTGGACCGCGAAGAAGTAAGTTCAACTTTCAGTGGCTGGTTTGAGGGATGCGCTCGCACTCCGGTGCGCAAAAAAAGTTAAAACGTACAAGTGGCTCGTGTTGTCTTAGTTGGAGCCTAATGCAGGGGAAGTTGTTCGTGCCGAAGTTGACACAGACGTCTCAGGTCGCTGCCATCTCCCCACACCGTTTGAAGTGAACAGATAAGACGGGAAAGATTTGTTCGATCATTGAAATCGTGTATTTAAGTCAGGCTATAATTGTCACATGGCACTTTAGTGCAGAATGCGCTGTACAGTCTGCCAAGTTTGCATGTGAGTTATTGTGGAGCCTTGAGCCAAGCTGGGGTTATTATTATTATCATTATTATTATTATTATTACTTGCGTTCGCAACAATTAGATAAAGATAAGTCACAGTATTATGCGTTTTTGTTTATTTTTAAAACGCCTCTTTTACATAGAAAACGCGCTTTCTGTTGCTCAAGTTCAGGTTGACTAAATACAATTTGAGATGCGTTATCAGTACATTGCTAGAGAACAATAGGGAATGAATCAAATACAAAAGAAAAGCAAATATTTAATTACTCTCGTTTATAAAACGAGGTCCGGTGCTGCGCTGAAATAATAATAATAATAATAATAATAATAATAATAATAATAATAATAATAATAATAATAATAATAATAATAATAAAAACAAACAAAAATACACGTACTACACTGTCTGCATGTAACGTCACGAAAATTGTCGTGCTGTCTGTTAAAAACAAAGCCCTCACACTAACTGCAGCTTCTCTGCGTTGTTTACTGCACTTAATAGCAAAAAAGAAAAAGAAAAAACAAGCATCCATTTGACAGATGGCATCCATTATGGAATTTCTCAGTTGCAATTCAGTGCATGTTGGAGGGATCAGCAGGTTGTGCGTAGAATCGACTGTGCTGTAATTAAATCTGAGTGGGAAGGCCCGGCGTAAAGCTCCTCGCATTCTAATCAGGTGATCATTGAAAAGTTAGTCAGGCTGATCCTTATGCGTTGCTATCAACGGGGAGGTCAAAAAGCTTGTGCTGGATATGAAAGCAGCTGAAAGCAAAGGGGCAAATGAGTGATAAAGAGTTTTATTCCAAATATACATTTTGATGCAATTTTTACTGCTTGTTTGTTTGTTTTACTGCGGATACAGAGTGCTTAAGAGTTACTGGATGTGTTGGTTGTGTCTGAAAACATGCCCACAGGAACCCCTAATTGAAATGCAGAAAGTCGGGGTCATACGAGAAGAAAAAAACAACTTAGGGGTCAGGTCTAAAATTATGCGGAGGTTACACAAATCAAAACTTTTTAAAGCTTTAATCTTTTCACTCATTCAGCCGAACCGAGTCAATCACTGCTTGAGACCCATTCCCCCCCCTCCTCTGTACTGTGTGCGTGTGTGGAGTGCAAGCGTGGTGGTGGGAGGTGGTGGTGGTGGTGGGGGGGTTCATCGTCCGAACAGAATCAGAAGTTGTACACGAGCCAGCGCAGGGTTTTGTGGAGCTACATTCTCCTCCTGCGCATGATCCATCGCGCGTCCCGCTACGTTGGTGATGGCTAACTCACACTTGCAAAGATCTTATATTTGAGCTGTCATCCACTTGCATTTTCTCTAAGGAAAAGTGAAGGGGGGTTAACATCCGAGAGCAGGGAGATGGTGTGTGTGTGTGGAGTGGGGGGGAGGGGGGGGGGGGGGGGGGTTCAGTCGGTGCGAGGCGAGGTCTCTACCTTACCCATCGGATGCGACAGTCGCGAAAAAAACATAACGAAACAACAAAAGAAAAAACACCAAGAGGCTCTAACGGATTTTCGACGCACAAATCGAGCAAGAGAGAGCGATTTAACTCCTACAGTCGCATCTGAAGTGAGCAGGAGAGCAGCAGTAAGCAGACGGAGATCATGCTACTGAGGATATTCCACCTGGTCCGTGCAGAGGAGGCGGCTCCGCGATGCTCTTCGCCGACTTATTTCGGGTGTCACGCTTTATTTTCTGCTCTCATCTTCCATTAAAAGAGAGAGACAGAGAAAAAGAAAGCTTCCAAATGGCTCCCGAGCTGCGGCTTCATAAAATAGAAAAACAAGCATTTCCTTTGCTCTCCGTTTTCCTTCCCTGCTCTGCTGCGTGTGAGGAAGGAGGAGCGGCGGAGCTGCTCGCTGCGCGCGCGGCGGACTCGCTCCACGCAGCGCGATCTGTGTAAATGGATGAGGAGATCGTGCATCTGAAAGGAGGGCGCATTTGTGATTTTTTTTTTTTTTTTTTGTGTGTGACATCATCGCAGTTCCTCTCTCCCGGTCCGCGAGGCCTTTGACCTCCTCCGGGCTGGTCCATATTTTTGGCCAGCCCTTTGCCCCCCGATTTCTGTCAGTGGAAGGGGATTGTCCCCTATTTCAACACACTGCCACTTTCGTCCGATCCAGCCCGCCGAAAGGACCGTCATCGCAGGTTTTCGCTGCCCAAACAAACAGGATGCAAGCGGACAACTTGACAGTCTTTTGTCCCCCCTCCAAAAAAAAAAAAAAAAAAACGTGGGGGGGAAGAAGCAAACATAATCTTCTCAATCCGAAACATTTGCGTCCCAAGTCCCTGTCGCTTATTGCGCTTTCCACGGGAAATCTGGATTTTTCTTCACCACCCGGCCTTGCAGGATCTTCTATTGCTGCTGCCACAACGACTTAATAGAGGCGAAAGAGCCTTTGTGGGATTGAGGCAATTTGCATTGCAAATTAAGGCCCCGTGTGCAAGGATGACTGCACTTTACCACCGATTTCCAAGGCCTACTTCAACCCAGTAATACTGGTTAATGTCAAGTGAATTTGACATTAACATTGGGAATATATAATCCTTTTTTCCCTTGAAGAATTATCACCTTTAACTCCTGAGTGTTAAACAATTTTGGTTGGCCATCTGCAGCTACAGTAAAAGGGAATATAAAGCATATGATGTGACTGTATTTTACCAAGAATATTGAAGTTGCAAAGAATTTAAAACTTTGGAGCCCAGAAGGTGAAACATGGATTGTGGATTACTGTAGAAGACAGTGGAGTGGGTTGTTATCTTTGGTTATCTAGCTGTATGAGTGTTCTGCTCGTCATAAAGCTAGATAACCGAAAGTAAAAACTACTTCCAGACTCATCGAGGACCTTTTGGACGGACGCACACTTTGATTTCCCCACGGACTAAAGCCTGGAAATATCACTTATGTCAACAGAAACTGGATGTATTTTTGTCACTGTTCTGTAATTTATGTTGTATTTTCATTTTCTCCCACAGTGTGAATATATATGTGTATTTGATAGGACTGTACCAAGAACATTTAGCTTTGACAGTCTGATTTTACAACTGCTCTCTTGTACATTATGTCCAACTTTAAAATGGATACACACACCAATAGATGCGCAAACACACACACGTGCACGCACACACACGCGTACACACACACGCTGGTTCTTCTCAGGTCACATATTGCATGTTAATATTTATAGTCCTCTTGATTTTCATAATATTGCATGATTTATGTTATTTAAAATGCATGAGGTTTCTGCACAGGCCCACTGGGTGCATGGAAGAGTCACATTCTGGGGGCTACTGTAGAAATCCACGTGCGCCCTCATTTCAACGTTCTGGGGTCTGGCCGGCAAGCATCACCGGCATTCCAAACGGCAGTGATGATTAGGATGTATACAGACAGAGCTGACAAAAAATGGAGAGAAAGAGAGAAGGACGTAGGGACAGGGTTAGGGAGAGGAGGGGGTTGGGAAGAAGGGGGTTATGAGGGGTGTATTTGGGAGAAGCTGGTGTGTGTGTGTATGTATGTGGGTGGGTGCTGGGTCGGGTCTGCTTAATTGATTCCGTTAACCGCAGTGCAGGAGATGTGAACGACTGGACGATCCCATTCCCACGCTCGGTGGGGCAAGTGGCAATGCCGTGCCCGGGCCCACTATGACAGACAGCGTCGTGAGGGCCTAGAGGGGCCGGGTGTGCGGTGTGGGGATGGGTGGGGGGGTATAGGGATATGGATAGAAGAGGGGGAGCAACAGGGGTCATGAAAAGACGTCAAGTGCACCAGACTCATCTGCATCCCCAAAGAAAGGGGCGAGGTTTCCCAGCCTCAAGCTGACGCGGTGGTTCCAAACTCGCAAGCAGTAACGGTCTTGTCCGCGTTCCTGTCTCGCCAGTTGAGTTGATAATGAGGATTCTGGGTCATTAGCTTAAAAAAAAAATCTATGCTTTTATACAAATGTAAATGTGACGTGATGCAACTTTGTAATCCAGCGTGCCCCCCACTTGAGTTTCAATGCAGATATTGTTATATATAGGACATTTGAACAATCGACAACTTACACCATTGTATCTGAAATTCAACATAAACAAGTAAGTAAACTAAGTAAGTAAATGGAAATCTGAACAGAGAAACATTAGATGTCAGAGGTGAAACAGAGGTTGGCCAGACTTCACATTTTCTGAAAAGTTACTCAACCTGCTTTAGCCATAATTAACAAAGGGAGCATAATTTTGGTGTTGGAAAAGCAGTGCTACAATAAAAGTGTCTACATTTTTAGTTTGGGATTCACTAAAAATGTGCTCATGTGGTCGATTGACAGGCTTAATCAAGATAATTACTTGAAGGGCTGTTTCCACCGTAGACCTTTTAGGAAAGGGCCGGTTACTGGTATCAAGGTGCTAAGAAACATATGATTGGTCAAATTTCTCATATTTTGTCTTATACATTTATTGTAGTAACATGATGTCAGAGAAAATGTCAAAACACTAAAAACGTAGCATTAGCTTAATGGCCTTATTAAGGGATGATGTTGTGAAGTTCCCCATAAATGTATTTTTTTTGTTGTATTAATGAAATTTTCAACGAAGAATTTTGAAAAGATTCTGTTTTAATTGGATTTTGAAGTAGTTAACCTGTCATGCAACTATTTAAAAATAAATAATCTAATACAATTTTAGCGCTATTACTCTTAACCAACCCTCCCCT